TCTCTCTCTCTCTCTCTCTGTATTTGGTACAGGGTCTCACTATACAGATTGGACTCATAGTGATCTTCCTGTTTTCAGCCTCCCCAATGCTAGGATTACAGGTGGCACCACCACACCCAGACATGATTGCAGGCTCAGCACACCCTAGGGCAGGGCTGGCACAGCATGTGGTACCAGGGATCGAACCTCAGCCCCTGCAATTGTCTAAGAAGGTGCTTAGTCTGCTGAGCTGTATCACCGGCCCTCTGAGGTTGGTATTTCGAGGTTGGGAACATTGAGCCTTTCTAAGTTCTCTGTATGATCTTGCTGTGTTCAGGAGGAAGGGATGTGTATGTGAGGCTCACTATTTGTGAATGGCTCTGTTTATGTTCATCAAAAAAGAACAGAGCGGCTGGCCAGACAGCTCAGCAGATTAAAGCGCCTGCTTAGGCAGACACAGGGACCAGGGTTCAATCTCCAGTATGCTGTGCCGGCCCTGCCCCTGGGGTACACTAAAATGGCAACTGAGACTGGTGTGGTGGCATGCACACACCTGTAATCCCAGCTCTTGAGAAGCTGTAAACAGGAGGATCACTATGAATCCAATCTATGTAGTGAGATCCTGTAGACCCTGTACTGACTACATTTAAAAAAAAAAGAGTCAGCACCCAATATGACTAGAGTGTTAGAATAACTGTGTACAACTGTGTGTATTAATGCTAGGACCCGTACCCACACTGATATTAATTCTGACAGTAAGAACAATGGTAATTCTGACACCTGACAGCTGTTGATTTCACTCTGCGAACTTTGCCTTTGAAAAATTGAGGCTCAGAGAAGTTGAGTAGCTTTTCTAAAATCAAAGATGGAGAGGAACTTGGTGATAGATTGGGAGCATAAACCCATGTTTGCTTGAATCTAAATCCCCAGGTTTCTAGATGTGGTGGTGCAAGCCTGTAATCCCAGCACTCAGAAGACTGAGGCAGGAGAATCACTGTGAGTTCGAGGCCAGCCTGGGCTACAGAATGAGTTCAAGGCCAGCCTTAGTGAGAGCCTGTCTCAAAAAGAAGAGAAAAAGAACTGTGTTGTTTATAACATTGTTCTGTTTTCCATGGGCTATATGAAGACAGACAGACAGACAAGTGCATAAGAACACATATAATTACCCAATTGTTCTCGAATTTGACTCTATCTCAGAAGCTCACTACTGTTTAGACCTCATATGGTTGCTTTTTTAGAAAGTTGACTGTACAGAGTGTATAGTGTTTTTTTTTTTACATTACAAAGTGGTCTTACTACTCTGTTATAATTAATCTTTACTCTCATTTATTCAAGGTGAATAGACTTAGATTTATGTTCTGCAGTTATTTATTGTTAACTGGTTATTATAAGGACCATGGTCAAATCAGTGTTGCCATCTGTAAAATGGGGATGATTATATCTTTCTAGGATTTTTATTTGGAATTAAATGAGAACTTGTACCTAACAGAGGCTGGATCCATAGAAGGTATTTAACAGATATTAATCAATTTTATGTTTTCCTATTTCATTGAGAAATAAAAATAAGGTGCTGGAATTTGACCTCTTCCTCGAGATTTCTTAGAAAATAGCAAGTATGATAGAAAAAGTATATGCTTAGAAATCAGGGCTGAATTCAGTCCCACATTTAGTACTTACCACCTGTGTGACATTGGGCAAATCAATCAGCTGCACTATGTC